ATTTTGCATTAACTTGGCTACTCTAATAACTGCAATTTGTTTAGTTGACTGCTAATATTTGTTGTTATTATTAGTGTTGTGTACTTACGTTTGAAAATTTTTGCTTTATTGTTTTGGTGCTTTGTAAATGTGGTTCGTATGTACCATTGTGTGATTGTATGTGTGTACCATTGTAGTAAAGATGAAAGTTTTATATGTTCTACCCAGTCCCATCCTCATAAATGTGTTTTAATTCTGTCTTTTCTGTACAAGATAATGTTTGAAAAGTTTATACCGCTATTTACACATGCAGTATGAAGTTACTACCTGCATGCTACTGACATCTGTGTTGGAGACTTAATGTATCCTGCACTTATCATTTTTAAAATGAATTTCCTCATGGGTGTCACAGTGATTGTGGTTTCCTGTGTAAACAGTGGACAACCCATGATCATATTACAGCATTGCTACTGTATAAAACTAACTTAGACTTTTAATTAATGACTGGGGAGTGAAATGATTTTTTTAATCTTTGTTGAGATATCAGATATCAAAATTTTTGGAGGGAATGCCTGTTCCCTTGAAACGGTGTACTCTTTTTCAGTCATTATTAAATCAATAATTAATTTTATTATCAAAATTAGTGAGGTTTAGCCGTTAAGGAATTGGAAAATGGTGGACTCAAGTTAACAATCGCATGGTAGAGTGACGGAGGAGACCAGCACTGCAGGAACAGGCCAATCTAACAAAATGAAGTCAAGGAATAACGTTCATGTACACATTCAAGGTCTACTACTACTAAGAAGGTATACCCCTTCTTTAAATGATGAATTTCTGATACCTATACATGTTCTTATATTGTGTAGAAAGTTTGACCTGATTCCGATAAAAATGGACTGTTTATGAAGATTTAAAGTTGCTAAAAAATTTGGCCAACAACCATGGGCTATAGTACAGGGTCCTTGGCCAAATTTTACCAAAAATTGTTAGAAAAGATTTCTCCATTTTAATAATTGTTTCTTATAAACATGCATGTTCTTATATTGGGCAGAAAGTTTGGGTTAATTCAGATCAAAATTAATGTTGCTTAAAATTGGACCAAAGACCATGGGCTACATGGTGCATTGTAAATGGCTTTCATTTTGTCAAAATTGTCTCAAACCAATTGTTACTACATACATGTACACATATTCTGATATGTAGTACATTCATGTACAATTATATATGTACATTTACTATTTCCTCTTTTATCTTAGGTCTATGTTGTCATTTCTTCACTTGTTGAAATTGAAGTCTGCGGTTCCTTTTACCTACCTAAGTACTAGAACGGACATTAGATGTTCCTCCAATGACACTTCCTTTCTTTGACTATCGATCCATGAGATTCCAGTAGTCACTGGCTGATGAAACCATCTTTAATATATCCAATGATCACAACATCAGTAAGAGAATGAGCTGTCTTCTAGTATGAGGGAGAGTGAGATATACATGTACAGTACAGGAACAGTAATAGCTTGTAAAAGTGCTGTGGGAGCTACTGTCAAGTACATGTAACGTAAATAAATGGCCTATATACTATTATGAAGGGAGATGAAAATAGACATATGTAATGTAAATAAATGGCCTATACACTATTATATACTATTATAAAGGGCGATGAAAATAGGATATAGATAAAAGGATAGAAAAGAGATATGTGTAGATAAATATAATTGTATGTTACATACATGTATACAGTTAAGATTACTATAAGTAAAGGGAGTGACTTTTAGTAATAGGGGAAAAGGATAATTTTACCCTAAAACATGTATTACGGACATACAGTACATCCATCATGCCACATGTATGTGTACAAGGATACTTACAAAGAATTAATGTTTGTTTTCAGTATATCATATCTTGTCTTAATTTAATGGCGTAATGCATGGATGGTACAACTGTGTATTCCTTCATGTTTCCTTTGAATTCATTTTTTATTTTTATTTATTTATTATCTTTGTTTTAAAGGAGTCATTTGAAGCTAACTGGAGCAAATGGAGATGTGCTTTTTTAAAACATGCAGCTTGAATAATTCTGCTGGATCCAAGTCATCTTCGAAGCTCATTAATGCAAAATTTCGTAAAGGTATGTATAAACACACATAACTTTATTGTCTATTATACAATAATAAGATTCATCTCTTTATGCAATAACTTTCCAGTCCTATGTCAGATATGAATGCTTTTAAATGTTGATGTGCATCATTAACTGAGTCACGAAGGGAAGCAAAGAGCAGGAGCCTTACTTCATATGATATTCCATTTATTTTACTTAATACTATGGTAAGATACTTCAGGACATGGAATTATATTCACTGTTATTTTATTATTTTAGCGTGGAACTCCGTTATCTGAGGTGACTGATTGAAACAATAATCATCCTTACATAGTTAGATTCTTTGACCCAGATGAAGATGTGGTGCCACAGTACTTTATTGCTATAGAACAAAAATTGCACTGTGAATGTAGTGCATTGTCAACATCCATCTTTAATTTAGTACAATACATCTTTAATATTGAGTACACTGGAAGTTTGAAGTATATATTCCGATTTCTGGAGCAGTTTAGATTGGATATTAAGTTCTCTGACAACCCTAGACAAGTCTTTTCATATTATGTTCTTGTTTTGTTTAGCTAATTCAGTACATAGTACATGATGTATTATTATCTTGTTATAACATTTCCATTCATTATTGCAACACTATGTCTTGTTATTAGAACAGAAGCCCATTGTTACTCCATCTGCATTGTTTTGACAATTAGCATTTTGTTAAAAGAACACGCTTGCAATCCTGATCTTTGTTGGACATCAATAGGTAAGCATGCACAAATAGTTGAAAAATGAAAATTGGCTAAATCTTTCAGCGTCTTAATGAGTGTTGGGGCTGCAGGTTTTGAGCTGAAAACTCCAAGATTTTACATCACAAGTCCAAAAACTGATGATATGCTTAATAAGCTAATGCTATACATAACCTGCGCACTAGCTCACACATCCTTTGAAGTAAGTATGAATACCATTAATATTGTTTATTTTAAAGTTCACCACTAAGAATGTATTTAAAGGAATTAATCATGTAAAGACGATCTTCTGTAAAACTTTTGTTATCCAAATGAATACTCGAACAAAACATAGGAACAGGAAATAGATCAGGTATGTTCTAGAAATTAAATTAAAAAATTAATAACAATAACCCAAGGAACACACATACCTCATTTATAGTGTAATCACTAGAGGATGAATGAGTTGAATGAGAAGTAGGAAAAAGGTTGACAGAGACAGACTTCACTGAAGCCTAAAGAAATCATTAATAAGTAAATA